AAAAAAAAAAAAAAAAAAATGCCTTGAGAGCAATACCTCTCATCCCGCAACTCCGAAAACAAATCCAGCTAGCAAAACCCACTCCCAAAAAGCCAAATAAACCTCCATGAGCAGATGCTAGCGGCTTAAAAACTCAACATTTTAGAAACAAAAAGCGACTGTAAAACTTACAGTCCTCCTAAAATACGTCAACAAAACAGATACACACACTCAAGGACCGCCTCTAAAAAATTCCCACAGCACATCAGCACCACATAAAGCCCACCTCAAAAGACTCGAGAAGTACAACAGACAGGCACCTCAAAAACAACCACACGCTATCATGAGAAAAAGTTCTTTTCGGGTAATAACTTACTATATTCTATCTATTAGCAGTAACACCAACGCCATGACCGTCGCAATTTAGTGAACAAAACTATGAGTCTTTCTAGTAATAAAGACACTGCAAAACTATATGATACGCAAATAACGGAATTTTATTATAACAAACAGTGAACACAACCATAAAAGTAGGCAAATAAATAACGATAAAAAGAAGCGTAGTTAACAACATTGAGGAAAAGATTAAAAACGAACATTGCAAATTGTACACCGTAGACTAGTCACATAACAAGTTCGGATTATGAACTTTGACATGCTAAAAAGCCTCTTACAATGTCCAGAAAAAATATATTTTCCTTCATAAAAAGCAAATAGCCCGTTAAATTCACATTCTTAAACGCCATCGAGATTTCAGAAACAGCTTTTTAGAAGAGTAGTTCACACACTACGCCCGTACTGTAACAACGAATGGAATTATTAAAGCCCCGTTCTAAACAGTTGAACAACGGCATTTCTCAATTCTTACGTGAAAGAAACTGCACATAAAATATATACATGACGAAAAACAAGACTTTAATCTGCTAACAACTTCCAGCTTCCCGTACATTATTTGTCTTGAAAAGTAACAGAAAATATAAATTCTGTCACAATCGACGAAAAAAGAAGCAAACTGAACCTTAAATAAAAGCAACAAAAAACTAGTTAACTTATGCGGCTAAAAGAGACAATAACACGAATGAAAGCTTAGAATATTTGATTTAAAACAAAGTAAATTCGTAACAATGAAATAGCCTGCAACAAAAAAAATTAAATATTTAAAGCCTATGTGGTTCGTGCACGGGATCCCCAGAACCTTCAAAATTGCTCATTATTGAAATGCCTTTAAAGCTAATTAACCGTAGAACTGAAATAACTGGTGACATGAAAGCACACCCATTACTATATGACCACTTCTTTACCCTACTCTTGTATAATAAAAGTCAACGATCTAAAATTCTTTTTTTCCTCCAGGAGAACGAGCAGGAGGAAGAGCTGGACGTGCAAACTGTTCAATGTTGATATTGACCGACTCAGAAGACTCGTTCTATAAAGCAAATACATTAGAACTATTATAAAGTACAAATCAGACAACAATAAAAAAAGAAAGGCTCACAGAATCCTCATTTGTTATACCAAACTGAAGAGAATATGGCGTTTCACCCTTTAGAGTATCATCAATATAGTGACCACCATCATCTGAACAAATATATAAATTTCTATGGGAACTAAAACAGCAGAAAGAAGTTGTAAAATAGAAAGAACTACTTACGAAATAAAAAAAGAGTTAAACAATGTGCTCTGTAAGCCACATTTACATCTTAAAATATTACCTGTAGAAAAAGCCCCGTCCATCTGCGAATCAATATCTACATCGGCCACTTCAGAGCCTTCTTCCATCCTATCCACTTAAAAAAAAAAAGCCTTCATGCCATGCAAAGAGTTAAAAGCACACAGTAGCTCGAATTACAGCTTTAAAAACTCTCTAACACCCATAAGTTCACAGTCTTTTATAAGGAAAGGATGTTATGTTAAAGGCTAAAGGCGCCTAACCTTGGGAATCCGACCTCACCGAAGGCGGCCTTTTTTCAATAGTTGGCAAGGGTAAGTCTGTCTCAGATGTTTGCGAACCGGGTGCAGCAGCTGTAATTGAATAAAAACGACTTCTGACTAGTATTAAGGAAGAACACTTGATCCGTAAGCTGAAAGAACTGTCATACCGGGTGACGCAGGCGGTAAAGTTGGTGTGGTACTTTTGGGAATAGAAATTCGATTAATCAGTTCATCCATTACTTTGTCTTCATCAGCTTCTCTTGCTGTTTCCGAAGCAGCAAAAACACTAAAAGTCTAAGTGAATTACAAAATATTCTATTTGCGTCGAAAAACCAACTAGACTAGCAGGACAAACTTTCTAAAAGCCCAATATGTATTTACAGAACTCCAGCAAATTTTCAGTGCAGCAATAATCCCGAGACAGTCAATGCCTAACAGCTCACCGGTAACTTTCTAAACACCGAGCCAAATTGGTCTCCATTCGAGCACGACTCCTTCTAATATCCGCACGCGTTTCTGCCGCCTTTTCCCTCATAGACAACAACTGCGCAACAACTAAACAACAATCAAACCTGGCACATCCTAGACAATTTTAAAACCTGCAGGATCTTTTACCAAACTGAATAATAAATTTTAAAAGAAAAGAATATTAACAAAATTAACAAAAATTGTTGCAAGATAGCAGCCTCCATAAGGAATTTAAAAAGTAATGCTCAATCCTCACAACTTGATTCCTGTGAACTCAACTGCCGCTGCAACTTGTCAATGATCCCTTTCAGATTAGCAATCACACTCCGCTGCCGTCTGCATTCTTCACGTAACTTACGTGCTTCCACTTCCGCTCGAGAAGAACGCCGTTCTGACCCTTCTCTGAAAATACAGAACCATTACCGATCACATAGAAAGTAATTACTCTGCTTCCCAGGCATACCAATCTATAACCAGATACACTGGAATACATAAAAACTACGGCTTACTCGTGAGAAGTTGGAAAAATTTCCGTCACTGATGTTCCTGGAGAATGCTCTTCAGGGGTTGTTTGCTGCTCTAGACGAGCTTGCATACGCCTTTAAAACGTAGAGAAGTAAATAACTCGGCTAAAATCAACAAACAAAGATATAATTACTTGCTAATTTATAAAATACCTTTTTTCTGCTTCCAATTGGTCCATACGTTTCCCAAGCGTGTTGAACAAGGATTCTTGTTCATGTTCTAATGCATTTTCCAAATCTACTTTTTCTCGTCTCAGTTGCTCCAAGGCCTTTAAAACAGGTAGAAGCAGTAAATCAAACAGGACACAAAAAAAGGCCTAAGCGTGATGAAAAAATGGTCAATTTTTGCATTTCAAACTATTACATCCTCCGTTAAGGATCAAATAGTAATCTTACAAACTTCTACACTTAATAACAGATCATCCTTCTGAAAAACTTCTTAAACATGCAAACCAGTATCAACAAAAACAAGATGCCAAGCACGAAACTTCCGGGCAGGCAAAAATTAAAAAACTCATTTTCTATCTGCACTGAGATAGGTTACTTTCACTACTGTGGCAACTCTAAACTCATTTCTCTGTAGCCCTAAATAGTTTATTCAATCAAACAAATGTACCTACAGTATGATTTGCATTTATTTCTGCTTCCAACTTCCTAATTTTTACAAGAAGTCTATCCACAACGGAACTTTGTTCAGCCTCTATGCGACCCGCTAATTCATCCCGTTCGCTTTGCAACTGAAAAAAAAAATATCTGATATTTTACCTATTGAATATAAAAGGTAATGACCTTCCATTCTTTCAAATTCAAAGTGAACAAACAAAATCGCTTAAACTCTTCAAAAAAGATTACACAACGTGATAAGTCTAGTTAGATTAGAAGAACAGAAAAGTATAAAAAACTAGACCTGAGTTAATTTACGTGTCAGATCATTAGTTAAAAATTCTTCTTCTTGTTCATACTTCAAAGCTAAGGCCTCTTTATCATTCTTAAGTCTCTGTATTCGTTTTAGTAACATGTTTGAAATGTACTCCTCCTCTTGTTCGGCTTTTGCGTGCTGAAAAATCTCATCAAACTTCTGCAGGTGGTATCATCTGAACAATTTTAAAAAGCTCCAAAAGCTTACGTACCAAGCGTACGTTCTTTTCTCGCATGCTTCTATTGGTCTGAGCAAGTGACTCGTTTCGAGACCGAAGACAAACAATTTCTTCCTGTAAAAAAATATCATTTACGTGCCACAATTTATCAAACAACGATTTCAGTACAACCAAGAGAGTATGATAGTGCAAGGTGTCTATTCTGACATTTCATCAGCAAACAACTCTCAAAAATAGAAAGCTCGTTGGAAAAAAAAGATTAAAAAAATAGTAAAAAACATTATCTAACCCAATAGCTTAAAAAACCCAATTATACACTAATTACACAGACAGAAAACCACAATAATCACCCCATGGTAGAAAAACGTCCCAATAAAACAACTTACATCGCGTTGCATCTTCTGATGAAGTAACTCAACAGCTTTAGTAAGCAACCGATCATATTCAACAGTTGTTTTGGGAATTCTCCCCTCAAATAGCGAAAGAAGAGTATCATCCGATATAGCACTAGGTGGAGAATCACTCATCTAAAAATAATTCTGTGAAATAAAATGAAAAAATTAAAGATACAATAAAATCAAACACTGCACTTCCTTTGAAGAAAGGAAAACACATTAAACTTCTTTTCCTCATTTCCTTAATATGCTAACATTTTAAAATAACAAAGAACGCTTCCAGCAAAGAGAAATATTAAGCCCGAAACATCATTAAGAACATTCTAAAAAACAAACGCCAAGAACTCACTGTGATTATCTTAAAATCCCATAAAAACGTAAATGATTACCATCTGAGAAAACTGGAAAGACGCAAATTTCGATTGAGCTGCAAGTACGTCCTTGCTATCAGTTTCATCAGAACCACCTGAAACTAAAACAGCATACAAAATGAAGAAATTATGACAAATCACACTCCAAGTCATCCCCGTAGAAAGAGAAACAAATAACCCGTAAATGACGTCTTAAAAAACGAGGAAAAAAATGGTAACGAAGTATTCAAAAATTAGACTCCGTCATCCTAAGTTGCATCAGAATCTTAAAATTATTGGCAGTACAACAACAGTATTCAAAAATTTATCAACTCAATACAACAGTGACTCAAACTGAAGAAAGAAAGCAGTTTTATAATCAGCATACTTTATGACAACCAACTGGAAAAATAAAGTTCTTTTCACAAGCTACATCAAATTTGAAACAATGAACAATGAGTATTGACAAAAAAGCATATGCTCACTTTTACCCGATAAATTTCGTTTTGATCGCTGCATTTCAATCACATTTTCGTGCCTGTTCAAGTTGGATAGCACTGAAGCTGTTGCACATAAAGAAGAGCTACTAACATCACCCGACATCAATACCTGAAGCAGCTTAGTATTTCTAATTAGATAAAAAAAAAGAACGACGCCGACGCATCGGTAGTAAATATCCAAAAATCATGCATGTTACGTTAGAAAAAAAATTCTCCAGTTTCGCGTTCTTAGTCACGTTCAGCATACTATAACCAGATAACGCAAATAAACCTGAAGACTGGAACAGTCCCAAAACTTAGAATGTTAACAACGTCTTAAATCCAAATCAGAACACGATTGAGTAAACAAGAGCAAATATTGAAAATTAAAGCATGATACACAATAAAAATGTTACGTTTCCGTCGACTTCATTTATACTACTCTCACTTAGATTGTAGCTCAATAAAAGTAGTACCAAAAAAACAAGAGTGATAACAATAACTTGAAGTAAAAGTGAACTGATAAGTAAAAGCAAAAAAACCTCAGTTCCAAAAATGTGGTCATACAAATGAGACTGAAGCACACTTACATTTTTAAAAATCCATTCCCGTTGATAAAAGAATAACCGCTGCAAATTCCGTTCACAGAAGATTACTGGTTGTGCTACACTTAAATAAAACAGTGTTCACTCCAATGGTAGCTCAATACAAATTGTAGAAAAAATGAACTATTTCGTATCACTAAGAAATATGTCGGTAGAAGAAAAACTGTCAAAAGAAAACCCCCAACTTTCCTCTTGCTTCTAAAAACGACCGCTCTCAAAAAAGCTTTATACAACTTTAAGCATTCACCTTAAGTACAACCAATCAACTGATCTTTGCCACGAAATGGCCTTAAGAAATTTGTGCCTTTACACAAAAGATAACCAGAAACAACTTAGCAGAACTAATTAAGGAATAGTTTGTGATCGCGCCTTCAAGATCTTTAGGAACTGCATAATTACAGAAAGAGCGATAAATCTGGCGATTTATGTTGAAATTTTGAAAGCGAACCACTTAAAACAATAAAAGCGGTTTTCTTTAATTCTTCAGTACAATGCGAACAGCTACCTCTAACGCAATCATAATGTTAACAGCCTCCGTATCATACAAAAAAGTTTTAGATGTAAAACCGCAAAAAACTCCTTTTAAACACCAAACGCTTTGAAAACATGAGACCACTCATTACCTTCTTCTCTTGCAATAAAATCAAGAGAACGAGTTTTGTTACGAAATTATGAAGTCACGAATAAACAAGACGAATTTCCAGACCAAGTGAAAATATATCGCAATAAATTTTCCTTCCTTTCCTGACTGCCCTAAAAATAACATTATATTGATAAAAGTTTAAAAAATCATTAACTTTTTATACCTATGAAACGAAATTCAAACAGCAAAAAACTGATTTTCGTTCAACTGAGTGCTCATATCCGTAAACCACACCAACAAATAACTCCTTCTGAATCTGTAAATAAGACTAAAAAAATGAGGATATTAAACTCGAGCAATACTGAATACTATAAAACTTAGTTTTGCCTTCAGAAAAAATTTTATAAAACGAATAATCTTTAAAAAGCGGCTCTAAAAAAATTCCAAAAAATAATTTGAAAAAACTTCCAGTGGTTTGCACCCCATCTTCTAAGCCTCAAATAAAAAATTAATCAATTGAGACCATAAAAATAGATTGAAACAGTGTAACTGCGCGCACAAGCAGGTTGATCCCGAAGTCCACCTTTATGGTTGGGTTTAGTTGTTTTTTAAATAATGCTTGTCTTTTTGATTTTTAAAAAAAAACTAGGTGGCTCTAAGGCGGATATTAAACCCAAGTAAATGGAGATCAAACTGCTGAGAAAACAATATGCAAGCACGAAACGCAATTCCGACCTCTTTCCTCCTGAAATGTTAAAAACAATTTCTAAACAATTTTTAGAGCAAGGAATATCCATTAAATGTCTACAGATTTCTGATAACTATCAGGATCAAATGTAAGACAGAAGTTTTCCAAAATTCCCCCACGCCAAGCAATGAGTTTGTACTCCTGCGATAACAGTGACCTAGGGCAAAAACACGTTCATAAGAGCCACCAAGAAGTCAGTGAAAACTGCTCTTTATAACCGTATAACCAGACCTAAAACTTGTAACTTCGAAGGGAATCAATATTTAGCAATCTCCAAGCAATGTCAGGCATTTTGCCTTAAAACGAAGCCTAAGCAAAAAATAACTTCTAGCTAACCTTCTCCCACAAATTAATTGTCCGGAGCACAAAAGTAAATAAAAAAAATAAAAACAATGAAAGTAGAAAGAATGTACCTTGAGCGAAAAATGACTTAAAAAGTACTTAAAAAAAAAAAAAAAATCCTGATTGCGTGGAAAAGTTTAAAGTTGTCAGTGAAAAGCAACAGTTAAACTTACCTCTGAAGATTGTTTCAGACAAGATATTAAAACTGCAGTCTCGGAAACAACATAAAACTCTTCACCGCTAAAAAAATATATAAATATCTGCCTCTATGGTTTCAGAAGAAAAAAATAGCGGGTCGCTTTACGATCACTTTTTTTCTTCATGCCCAACATGTTCTCAATGCAGTCAACGACAATTTAATTCAATTAAACAAAATACACGTTAATAAGCTGCAAAAAGCTCAACTCTATCATGCAAAAATGTCTTTTAGAAACGCCAAGACTAATGCAACTCATATTCCTCAATGAAAAACCTACTAAAGCGATTATAGGAAAAGTTCTTCAACAAAGTTGTATATAGAGCTTCAGAAATGGCGCAATTATCGTTCCTAAAATTCAGTATGTGCAGCTATCAATAAAAAATAAAAAAAAAGTGGTAGGAAAAGAAAAAAACGAAAGGATAGAATCCAAAGCCGCTTCTATCCCCTATTAAACTGTACTTAATAATGGTGCGATTAAAAAAAAAAAAGAATAAACACGCAGCTAAAATACATCCAGTAACTCTTTTTTCAAGTATTATACCATCATTATAAGAAACCATATCCCTTTTTTTTCTTTGGTGAAAAACTTGTGTCGAAATACAGTCGAAAAAAATGTAAAAAAAAACTTTTTTACCACATGCCCAAATTACACAGAACAGTAACATAACCCAACTATATACAACAACAACAACAACAACAACAGTTCAAACCAATATAAACAATCTAAAGTTTAGCGAATGATAACATTTGGTACCAATTAATACCGCTGATTACAGTCTGTTTCTTTCCATCTTTTTGCATTCTTTATTTTTTTTTTTCTTGCTGACATAAGTAATCTTAGAACTAAAGCTTGCAGAGAAAAAAAAATGAACCACTTTAGCAGAAGAAAAAAGAAAACACAATATTATCGAGGCAAAAAAAATTTAAAACAGAGCCAAATGTCTGCAGTAAGAGACGTCAAGTGACAACCTATCAGCATTACCTGATTTGTATCAAAAATATATATTGCACAGATTTTCCAAACTGCTAGAAGTACTGCGGCAGTACGGCTATTTAACATCAAATGAAAATAGTCAACAAGGGAAAAAAATGCAAAGAGAGAACAATAAAACCTCCAGACCCAACTGCCGACCATCTATACTCCAGTAACAGTGAAGAGCGGTGAAAAATTTAGCTGAATTCCATTTTGAAGTTCCTTTTTGGCAACTTTCCAACGCTGTCGCTACAAGACCGATCGCTGACGTCCAATAACAGCAATTTACATACCCGGTTAGGCAACGACTACTAGACTACTTCATAAATTGTAAATAAGTCAGGAGATTTTTCCCCTAAACCTTTGTTTCATGCAATTCTACATTTATACATTGACAA